TGGATTATTAGATAGATCGGTATTGAAATTTATTTTTTATTGCGACGGCTTGTTAGCATTTATTCCATATTGCGAGATAATAATGAAATTTTCCTTCTTCTACTACTTTCTAGTGGTTACATTTTTATAAAAATTGGAGGTTATTAGCAGCATTATTAATGACTAAAATGGAATTCTGCTTATTTTGCCTTCTTAAAGAAGCTGTTTATTTATATACTGCAATAACGTAAATTTTTTTCAGGCACAGAATTTCAACTGGGTCAGATATTTTCTGCTATACAAATTACTCTATACTTGCTTTGGCACGTTTAAAACTTTTGTATTTGATGGGACAGGATTATTGTCATAATTATAGTTTTTATTTTCGTCGTTTTCTTCTCCACTTTGAACGGCCGACGATATGACTTTATCATTATGTAAAATTTGCAACCCATGATTATTTACATGGACACTCAGGCAGCTATTAACTTTATTTTCTTCGCACTTTAGATTTCTTACTATCTCCTTCAGATTACCAATGTTATATTCATGATTTACATAATCCCAGTGTTCAGGTTTCCATCATCAACATTTTTATTTGGTTACTTTATAAGGTTTTTTTTCCCCGCCTTCTTAGCGTGCCGTCGTGGTGTAAGGGTCTGCACGCTGGGCGCGTACTCCATAGGTCCGTGGTTCAATTCCCGGCGAAGGCGTTGCTCATTTTTCACTTCTTGTTTCAAAAATAACCTAATGTCTCTACACCTTAAAACTTGATTTTGGGGCTTGTTTACTAGCAGTTTCCAAGATTCGGCAGCATTGATGCAACGGTTTTTGAAATCAACTGTTTTGATATGCTATAAATTAGAACTCTTCCCTTTCTGTTGAATATTTTTTTTTAAATAACCTTATCGGTTGCCATATCGTAAAATGCAGATAGCGAGTTCTCAAACGAGTCGGATCCTTTTAAACCCTAAATATCGTCTTACATATGCAAGTTAACTCGATGAACAAAAAGTTCTTACTTTTAAACGAGCCCTATTATTGTTTACTAGCCTATCTAATATGCTGTATATTACGACATCTTATATGGTAATAATTCTGAAACTATTATTATAATCTAACTATAAAAGCTAAAATAATAAACTTAATTGCTTAATTAGAGTAACTACTTGTGCGGCCAGTCGCCTAAAATAGTTATTATTGAGAAAAAAAAAGAATATATAAACAATTTGTTTAAATATACTTTTCTTTAAATTTTTATATTTAATTTTTATTAATTTAGCGTAAATTACAAATTGCAATGTAATTAAGTACAAATTCTAGTTTTAGGTTTACTACTTTACATTTCCTAAGAGAAATTTAATTGTTATAAGAGATGCGAATGGAATTCTGTGCAATTGAAATGCCAAAAGTTATACTTCGTTATACTAGCTAGTTCTGTTACTGACTTCACAGCAGACGACTTTTCTTTTTAATTCTTGCATTTGAATTATGAAGAAAACAGGCTTTTCCTGTTGGAATTGGGCAAGAATGTCAAAAAATAACTATGAAATTTTCAAGAGCTCAGCACGATGTTCTCTATTTTTTAAAGATCTATTTATTTATTTATATGTAACGTCGAATTCCTTTAAACCATAGAATATGTTTGAAATATTTGCTGACAGCAGTGCAAATTTCTTTATTCTTCAAGCATTCCATAGACAACTCAGTTTCTATGCATAGGAAGATTTAAAGTTTTATCAATTTTAAGCACGAAAACACTGTAAATGGCTGAGGCCACAAAGCATTCTCAGCAAAAGATTCTATAGATATTTTTGACAACATTCATGATTAATCAAACCTTCATCCCGTCTCTCTTGACGTATTTCTTTGGCTTCCATTGTTTAATAATCACGCAATTTTAAAAATTAAAATTCGCAACTCTAGTTTCCCGAAAATTGCACTAATTTGAAAATTCCTTTGGGACACTAATTTATTCCTCGAAAATATGGTAATGTCAGGAAAACTGATGCTACTTCTTCTGATGCTACTAAACATTAAAACTGAAATTTTTACTGTACCAGACAATGAAGGCTTTTGCAGTTATTATCTCTCTTGAAAAACAGAATTTTTCTCCCTGATTTGCTGTTTAACCTAGAATATAGAGTATTCGGATAAATTCGGATAATCGTTAGGCTGCTATATACATAATAGAAAAGCGTTATGCGTTATGGAAACGATTAAGCAATTCATAACTCATCGAATAATTTCAGTAAACCTACTCATTTTTATTTTTAAATTTTAAATTTAATTTCAGGAGGAACATAATTGATGTAATTAGAAAACAAATTGTCACAATGTCACCATTTCAGCTATTACTCTCAGGAAAACAGCTTCGGAATTAGGTCTTAACGATCATGCTTCAGCCGTAATGACCTCATCGTGAGATAATGCTCATAATTATCTCAACGACCTCTTAAAGGAAGAAAATCAGAATGAAAATTACAGAGGGGGGATAAGAAACAAATGACAGAGGAAAATCACATCTTTTACATTAGTACTGACAAATCATAGGGTACATTTCCATATTTGCAATTTAAACAAGGCTATAAAACAGAATGCTTTATACCTTTCTGCCTTTCGGAGAGAAATAGTATCCATTTTTATATTTATTGATGTTTTATAAGCGTAGAAAATAAATTAAAATTCTAAAATTCATTGCAAATAAAGTATTTATAAATACACCAGGATTTAAATATAATACAACGTAATTTGTATGTGTTCTAAAAATTTATATTCTCCTTTTCTCTGTTTCCAAAAAACAAAATGCTTCACTTCATGAACTTACAGTTGGTTCATCGTTTTAGTTAATTTTAATAATAATTTAAATATTTTTTCATGATGGTAAATAATAATTATATATATTTGAACTACAATAGTCGTATAGCTGTTAAGAAATAGAAACAGACGAGTCCATGAAGATAACACAAATTGATTACTTCATCAAGAAGTCTAATATTAGCAGACTGTTGCTAAATTCTTTTGTATCTAACACGGATAAAATCATATTCATTTCGACCGTTGAAAACAATTAAAATAGGAAGAACACATATGTAACTGAGATACGACAAAAACATGAGATAATATAGTTCTTAAAAAATTTAGCTTGTATTTTATTTTTCACTTTGGAAAAATGACTAATACATTTATGCAGACAGCACTCGTTGTAACTTGAACCGACTTGTCAGTACTTAGCGATTTTATTTAACTGGTTTTAATGATCACGAGAATAAACAGATTTTGTAACCAATCCTTTAACATAAACTGTTGGACTAACTGTGACAAAAAAGCTGCCCTCTGATGAGTAGCCAGAGAAGTACTTCAGTAAAAGCCAAGCGTTCCATTTGATAGGTTGTATCAGACTCTTGCTCTGTAATTTTCTTAAAGTTAAATGTAATGTCCGTGTGTAACTTGAACCTGTTAATAAATACTTGTTACACTACACAGAACTCTTCTATGACCCTATCTAAAACGACCCCCACACAATTTTATAAAAACCAGTTTCTAGGATACTAATTCTTTAGAAACGAGAAAAGAGTTTTACTTATGTTACTATGAGAATTAGGCGCTGCATTCCATAATTACACAAGGGAAACATCTTCTCTATAATGAGCGGCGGCGATTCGCTTCAGACAGAGTAGAATATGATACTAGTATGTATGTTATGTATTACATTTTAAGCATCTAAAGTTAAAATTAAATTGGAATCAAAGCAAGGAAATTTCTCAACAATATTAATAATTGCAGCCGTGGATAAGGGGTTTAACTCTGTCTAAAAAAGAAAAAGGGAAAATTCTGGATGCATTCAAGATTTGAGTTTTCGGTTTTAAATGAATTTTAATATCTTAAATGAAAATTTAATTGAATATTTTTTCGGTTTTTGATCTCAAATGAACCAGAAGAACGAAACATGTTTTCGAAACATAGTAATCGTCTTTTATGAAACTTTAATTCATTTTACCCTGAAGAGTTCTGAATTGGAGTTTGGAGATTTATTTTTTATTTTTATATTTTTGTATATTTTTTTCCTTTTTGCATTTTTATTTTTTGACTTTGTTCTACTGATGAATTCTTATTTTTATTTTGATATGGTTAGATACAGTGTTAAACCTCTTCTCCACAGTTGCAATTATTAACATTGTTAATATAATTAATTATTAATATTGCCTTGCTTTGATTCCAATTTAATTTTAAATTTAGATGCTTTTAAGTTTAATTTACTTCAATCCTGCAGCTATAGTGCAGGACTGGTTAATTTTTTTTTGTTTTTAATTTTTGGCCTATTACTATGTTTCTTATTACATATTAATATGTGAGATATATTTAAAAGTATGCGGTATTCAGTCCAATGAGTTTTGAAATGCATAATTTTCTTTTAAAAACTATATTAGCTCCTAAAAAATAATAGAATCCTATAAAAATAATATAATTATGTGTCAATAGTTAGTTGGTTTTAAGTGAAGTCATATTTACAGTCGACTCTCGTTATAAAGACCGCAGCGTTTGTTTCAGTACAACGGCTGCTACAAAATTTATCCACCTGATGAGGATATGTTGAAGTGATGAGGATATGTTGAATGACTTTATAACAGTCATTCGTTATAAAGTTCTTTTGAATCGGTATAATAAGCGTTATCTGTGTTACTAAACTCTTCCGTTTAAGATAATTTTAAAGTAATTTTAAAGGTAAAAGTTTTTAACTTGTTTGATTCCAGAATAACATGAAAACTGTAATAATAATACGCTAACAGAACTGAATTAGAAACAGGCATTTCAATAAAAATGTCTGCTTTTGTCTTTCATTTTATATGTGTTACAGTCCCTGTTTTAGTTTTAAGCTAATTGTTGCCCTGAAGAAAGGATTTATTGCAGAACTAAACAACATACATTTATGTTTCTAAAATTTTAAATATGAAAGTATTAGTTATTTTCTTTTACAATATTTAAACCATATTTGCTGAAAGGCATATTCTTCCCCGCAGCTCCTAGTGGAGCCCCGACAGATGTCCATGCTCATCCAATAGGGTCCAAGCAGATTGAAGTCACATGGAAAGTAAGTTACTTTTGCATCATGTATTGCTTTTTGGTATTTTATGACAGATCTGTCTTGTACTAAAAGGGCATAAGAACACATTGGACTGTTTTTAGCGAATCTAAAAGAATTGGTTATAAATCATATTCTTTAGAAAATTCACTTTTTTAGTAATTAGAATTTAATTTTTCATGTCTCTAATATAGCTAAAATATTAAGTTACTTAAAATTTGAGATAAACATTCTATTTGAATTACTTTTGTAAAGTGTTCACTAGCTAACTATATTTCGAACGTGCTAAATTACGCATAACTTTAATAAAAACTTAATTAAAAATTAAGTATAAATAAATAAAAATTGCATTGAAAATTGCCATTTTTAACTTTCTTTTTCTGAGTGCAAATGGAGAGATCTTATTTATGAATCTCGTATCCGTAATTTTAGGAGTTAGAAACAAATTCCTGTTAAAAGTTTTAAAACCTCTGTATTATATAAGTCTCTGCTTTGAAATATGTTACCAAATTGAACTTTACTGTTCCAAATGAGAAATGAGATGCGTTTAAGATTTATTTAATTGAATAGCAAGTTTCTGCTGTTAGACAAAATAATCAAACTGGGAATAAGATCTAGAATCAAAATAAAGTTTTAAGTATATAAAATATTTGTTGAAGCTTGACAAAAGAAAAAGGAAATAGTTGAAGAGAAGGTACTGCATTGCAATAGGATTTCAAGTATTCTGAGAAATGCATTGTATTGTTAAAATCGCTTAATCTAATTGCTTATTTTAGAAAGTATGCAGATGGACTTTCATTCCGAAATAACTAATGGGCCAAACTAAGTTTTGTTTGCTCCGAACACTCTCAATTAACTTTCATTTCAAACTCGAAATAAGCAAATTTCATCATCGCTTAGCGTTTGTCAGCTTCAACTGCCTAAGTTTTAAGATTAGTAGATATGTATTACATAATTTTAACAACAACCGCGAAATAATAACAGAAGAAGCAATTTTCGCATTTTTTAAATTATAAAACTCACTGTAAATAAAATATTTATAACTAAAAATAGGCTTTAAATAGGCCTTAACTTTAATTCAACATAATTTATCTGTGTTCTAAAACTCTGTTAGTTTCCTTCTTTGCTCTTTGTTGCTAAAAACTATTGTTGCAAATTTCGTACATAGATGGATAATTTTGATGAAATTATATGTGAAATTGTTGTATTTTTCTATATAATGTACTCGTAACATGAAAAGCTGACAGAAATGATGTTCTGCTGGAAAAATAGGAATACAGGTTGCAAGTCTATTTAACATTGAGTAAATGGCTATCTCATTAATTTGGCGACATATCGCCAAGTTGGAAATGGTTTTGGCGACTAATTTTTGACGCCGTTAATCGTCAAAATTTACAAGGGTTAGAGATCATTTGGCGACATTTGGGTCCGGTCTCTGTATCACCGTAATAGGTACTGCAACTGAAATAAATGTAATTGGTCGCTATGTTAGCTGTAATCGTATCCGGCCTTCATATGCCTTCCGGTAATTTCGAGAAGCAAAAAGTACTAGAAATATCTCGGCGCCCGGGTAAAAACTACATAAGAGAGCATCACTTGCTGATTTGTTGTTCCTGGTTGTTGTTAATAGTTCAAAGCGACTTCGGAGTTTGAAAGCTTCGCCTGTTAGATGCGCTTAATTTGCTTTGTATTAACAGTCTTAGCAGTTTGCAGTGCAACTACTGATTGTACTCTATGTTAGTGTGAACACCTGCACGAATATTTCTGTGGAAAGTTGCAGAGCTCTGATAAAATAAATTTTATCAACCTATCGTCCGACCTGTATGCATTCAATCTATTACGAACCCGTACTCGCGCAGCAACATGTCGCTTCATGAATTTATGGAGTGATTCATCATTTTAGCTAATCTTAATCATAATTTAAATATTTTTCAGAATGAGAAACATTAATTATGTATCTGAGCTATATGCAGGAATTGCAAAGCTGTTTAAAAATAGAGAAACGCCGTACAAAATGCTATTTTGTTGCTTAGAAAAGTTGGCCATTTTACATTCGTTTTCGTTAGCAAAAGTGACTGCGTGAAAAAGAAAGAAGTGTAAGCTCTTAGATGAGGCTGAATTATTTGTAAACATGTAGGGTCATTAGGATATTTTTTGGAGGCCGGAAAGATGAAAAAATTAACAACGCCTTCGCCGGGAATCGAACCACGGACCTCTGGAATACCGGGCCAGTGTGCAGAACCACACTACACCACGAAGGACGCTTGGAAAGCGGGAGAAATACCTTATAAACAAGCTAAAACATAAACTGAAATGAACGTTGCACTATGTGATCGCTTTTACTGCATATATAATTAGTTCTTTACATCCTTCTTCTATTTCTGAGTTTAATCTTCTTCAAAAATAATCTTCAAAAATAATATGAAATAAATATCAATAGTACAATAAAGACTATTATGCAGTAAGTACGGAAACGATTTAATATCGCATAAAATTATACTCTGAAACTAACATAACAACAAAGTACCAAAAAAAATTAAACAACCCGTAAACAAATCTCATTTGGTATAAATTCCGTGTGTTGTCTGTAGATGGAGAAAATGAAAAGGGTGTTTAATTTAACAGCATTAGTTTAGATATCTGGTTATTTTTATTTAAGAATGGATATTTTCTTTTTTTATTTGCTTTACTTGGTAGTTACTCGACATTTTTAAATAATATCGTTGTTAACTTTAACGTATTTTTTCGAAGATGAAATCTTTGCAAAAACCATCTTTCTCCAGTTATCTATTTCTCTATTTCTGATTTACCCGGTGAACATTATTCCAATCCCCTTTCTCGAACTGTAAGAACGTTTATTTTCAAAGAAAGCCAAGATCAGGCGATCCTAAATTTGGAAAATAAAATAGCACTTGAATGGAACTGATTCTTTGGACTCCAAGACATTTCTTCCAACATCAATGCACTACGTTTCCTTGATGAGTTATACGAAACCCGACCCATCGCAGAAAAATTCATGGACATTTAGCCATACTTATGTGGGAAAACATTCAATAACTATAATTTCGAATAGGAAAGAAAACAATCGGAGATCTAAATTATTTAAATTTAGATTGTTTAAATAACAAATTATTTAAATTTTTAATTATAAACATTTTTGAGGAAAAAAGTACTTTGTTATTACTTTTTAATTTATTTTCTGCAAAATAAAACAGCATTCTGTATCTTTCCACATATACGCAAATTTAAGAATAAACTGCTTGCCAGCGAGTCATTAATATTACGAAAAAGACTCTAAGTGGTTTAGTATACAAATTTTGTTGCTTTAGTTATTTAAAAGAAGAAATAACCAGTGGAAAGAAGTATGTAAGACATCATCTTCAAATTTATTTACATCGCGTTATTTTAAATGAGTGAAACTCAAATTAAATTTTAAAAATATCTATTGAGAAAAAAATGTCATTAAAAGTATCGAATATTGCAACCGTATTTGATTAGTGAGCATAAACCGCGATCTGTTATGAAAGCAAGCATAAAGATTTTTTAAACTTTTCGACTTTCTGATTTAATGGAAAAGGAAAAAAGAAAACAACAGTTGTAAAACCCAATCTCTTTTGCGTGGTTAAAATTGAAAAAGAAAGTATATATATATAAAAGGCGCTTAATCAGGCAATTAAAGTATTAACTTTGGAGGGGGGGGTATGTTCTTTCATCATTTGGTAAAGCGATGTTTTATGAATAGAAACTTCTATAATACTTTGAATTTTTATTTTTTAAAAAGATCTTATTTTGTAGATGGAAGATAAGCATGTGTCAGTCTGAACTTTAAAATTAATAATAACATTCAACATCGCAATTTAGGAAAGCTTTACACATTTTTATTGAATCTGAAACTATTTTTTATCCAGGAAGGAAAACGATCCTGTGAAATCAAAAGTTGGTGGATTTCTGATTATATAAAGAATGTTGTAACCAAAAATACTGAAAATGAATTGAAAAATAAAAATAAAATTAAGAAAATATAATAAAAAATTAAACGACAAAAACTGTCACCTTTTAACTGTCATTAAATTACTATACCTTAAAGAAAATGATCCACTTTCATATTCAATAGATATACTTAAATTTCCCATTAAAAGTAGTGTTAAAAGTTTAATTATAGTTTAAATATCACGCTGAATAACAATCAAAAACAAAGTCCAAAATTAAGAATCAGCTTAAGTTTTCAAAAAATTTTTGCAGTACTAGTTTCGATAGTTTTTGAACTACCTTCTTCAGCTGCTAAGTGCAATTGAACCAAATAAAGAGTCAAGAAAGATAAGATAAAGATAGCAATAAGATAGGAAAAGTTGGGCAGAAGTTAAGCTACCAGCGCCATCTATTGATGAAACAAGGAAAACTAAAACAAAATTTCTTTAAAGGCTGAAGATAAAGATGGATTGTAATCGGGGTCATTAACTAGAACAGAAATGTTTTTTTGGATGTGAAACGGTTCTAAAAAATCTAATTCACCAATGGGGGACGTTTTCTGAATAATTTTGGCTGCAGAAAAATTGAAAGTGTGATTTTCATTCCAACAATGCTGAGCAATAGCGGATCTCTGTATTTCCTTTTTCCTAACATATGCCTCATGTTCTTTAATATGAAATTTTAAGGCTAAAGAGCCTTAAAATTTCATATTACCATATTCATATTTTACCATTGTAAATTAATCGTACCTTATCTCTATCGTTATCTTATTTTTCTTCATCCTTTATTTGGTTCATTTGCATTCAGCAGCTGAAGAAGGTAGCTGAAAAACTATCGAAACTAGTACTGCAAATTTTTTTTTTTTTTTTAATTTTTATTTAAGCTGATTCTTAATGTTGGACTTTGTTTTTGATAGTTTTAATTATACTCAAGTTTAACTATAAGACTCATGTATAAATGTCTTATTTATCTGAACTTACAACGTAATCTAAATTTATATTGACTTATGTTTTATACAGCTTTTATCCATTTCAGATTTTACAATATCCAGTTGACTATATCTAGTGTGGTACGATATCTAGTTGTTCAACTACCCATCCGGAAGTGGAAAACAATATTTTATAGTGTCTCGTTCTCTTTGGTAACATAAATTATGACACTCTATCTAAGATTTAAGCTACTACTTAAGTAGCTATGTCTATGAAAGCTATGTCTTAAGCTATGTCTTGGAAGCTACCATGTAGACTGTGAAGGGTGAAAAGGACCCTTTTATTTAACTCAGATAACATTTAACAGAAAACACGTCATGTGCTTACAGAACCAGCCATCATTTATCGTGGAAATCAAAAAGTAAGGAACTGAAACTAAAATTAACTTAATCGTAAGCTAAACGAAAAGACTATACACAGACAAAATACGCCCAAGTAGGCTCAAAAACCTAATGCCGATGTGGCAAACCTAATGATGAGAATAATGCAACGATGCAGATAAACTGCTGTCAAAAGAATCAAGTAGCAAACGTGGCCTTCAGCAGCTGGAACACGCTCTGATTTTACCATCTAAAACCTTCCTTTGAATGCTATCTCTTTCTGTGTCATTTGAATAAGCTCAAACTCGAAATAACTTTCTGGCAGAAAAAAGGAAAGCGAGAAAGACAGAAAAAAAGCTAATTAACATAACATAACTGGTTAATTAAACTAAATATATATTCTACAATCATAAAAATTAATTTAAGCATTAATTAATTAAGATCTTGAAAGCGAATCATTAATTGTAAATAAAAATGTTTTTCAAATATTGCACATTTATTGCAGTTGAAACGGTCATATTTATTTCAATGGCATTCACAACTTTTCTTTATCATGGAAAGCGAGCTTCACAATAATCACTTCATAACATAAAACTATCACTAAGTAGATTTTCTGCCTTAGGTGACGAACGCTAATGCAAATACGGATAAATTTATCGATAATTGCATTAGTATTACTTAAGGTAGGTTTGTCACCTAAGACAAATCTATTTAGTGCTAATTTTGTATTATAAAGCGATTGTTGTGAAGCTCACAAATTATTATGGCACTTATAGGTTGATGTAACAATTGCGATGCGAAACAACTATTTATCTATTTCGCGATAAACAAATTAATATCATTTGTATTTGGCCTCCAACAGCGATGCTGATGGATTAGAACTCTCGTTTCTAAGTAAATTTCTAAGCACACAAGCATATCATACGATAGTAGCACTTTCATTTACAGGGAAAGAGATTAATGCTATCAGATAATTGATTTCAGTTTGTTCCACAGCCTCCTCCATCCGAATCATGGCATGGTGTACTGAAAGGATACTATTTAGGGTACAAAGTCACCTCTTCCCCCTTGGCGTACGTGTACCACACGACAACGGATCCAACTGGACGTCGTTTTCGCATTAAAGGCCTCCAGAAATCAACATCCTACAGCATTGTGGTGAAAGCTTACAATGGAATAGGATCTGGCCCAGAGTCGCAACCTGTTGAAGTGAAGACGAGAGAAAGTGGTAAGCTTGATAACTTTCGAGCAATAAACAGAAATTGACTTTACAGCGACTTATTTAACAAAAACAATTCAAATGATAAAAATGTTCTATTTTGGTAATTTGCATCTTTCAGTCACATATGAAACTGATTTTACAAAGCTAACTGCATATATGGGTATTAATGTACATCTGGGCTGTAGAGACATTAGGTTTTATTGGAAAGCCAGAGAGATGAAAAATTAGCAAACGCCTTCGCCGGGAATCGAACCACGGACCTCTGGAATACTGGCCCAGCGTGCTACCGTTACACCACGAAGAACGCTAGGGAAGTGGGAGAAATACCTTATAGTGTTAATATGTGCAGTTGTGCAAAATATGAGATTGAATCTGGTATAGAAATAAGTGTTGTTGCATCATTTAGAGTTAGTAATTAAAAGTACTAACTAATACAGAAAATGATAATTTTGCTTTCATAAACAGAAATCCCAACTTTATTTACATGATCTCTTTAATAAGTTTTCTTCACAGATTAACTATTGCTTTAACCTAGCACAGAAATTATCAAATACAGACTAATTACATATGGATAATGCTTTTAAATTAGATATTAAAAAGTTGATCAAATCTAGTATTGATCATTTCAGAGTGAAAGTGACGATATTTACGTATAATTAGGTGCATTTTGTAATTTTATATTACTTAGTTAGTGTGTAAGCTAATTAGAAATACAAATTTAAATATCCTTTAGGTTTCAATATTTTGCATTCAAAAATGTATAAACATTTTCATGATAATCATTAGGCACACAATATACTAAGCGTACTTCTCAAAAACTATAATAAAACTAACAACTCTGTATATTCTAAATGCACACTTATGTAGATGCCACTTGAATCACGTGGTAAACATTTCACATAACTGTTACTGAAAACTTCATAATAATGACATCAGATTAGATTCATTCATGACGATAACTGTCATTAGCAAGCTAAGTAATTAATAAGATATTATCAATCAGTTTCCTGAGTGGTAATTGATATCAACAATTTTCATATAAACCGAGCATTAGTGATTTAATTAGTTTGGATACTCTTCGAGACATGCAGATAATATTTCAACTTCATTAAAAACATGAGTCTCGTGCAAGCGCTAAGAAAGCTGCTGCAGCTACATTTATCAACGCACATTTATTATCAACATATTTTAAAAAGACGTATGTGTTTTATCCTTTAAGAGACAAGACAAATTCAGAGTAACCTTACGATTAAAAGATTTAGTAAGATTTACAGTTAAGTTGTAAGGATCGTAAGTTTTACTAACGTTTATTTTATTTTAAATCTTTACTATCACTTCTTATTTTCTACTTCCGGCCAGAATTATAAGCGTTAACGTTTTTATGCAAAGTTTGTCTGGCGAACGCCAAGTATTTAAGTTGTGGCTTTTGCCAAGCGAGAGAGAGGAAGCAGTGAGTCGAAGCAGGCCGCTTACTTAGAAGTTTTACGCAGTTGCTGGTTGCCTTCCAGGCCAGAGGTTTTAATCCTCTTGATAAATTTTAAACGTATTGTAGTGTTCACAGTTCTCTGTACTACATACGGCTTCCTGTTAATATAAGGCCAATCTTCCACGTTTATTATTTAAAGTTAAATTAGAGTTTAGTTCTATTTTTTTATATTTTACGTGAGACCCAAGTAGGCGGGTCTGTGTATTCCGAAGTACGGAAAGTTATTAATAGAGAAAAATAAAGGGTTTTGTTCCCTTCTTGTGTATCTGTCTATCCCACAGTGTTGAATAGCTTAGTAAGCCTCTTTCCGCGTAGGTCCGCTGCATGTCCCGAAGAAGGTAAGACGGAACATTGAACCTGATAAAGTTGTAATTGCCACTTTTTGATAGATGTTTCACTGAGACATTTATTAATAAAAATTTCCTTACTTTCATCAACTAGTTTCTTGCCAGCATTTTCTTTTAATAATTTCTCTTTCCACTTAAGCCTTTTCCGTATTTTTTCTGAATTTTTCTCTGAGACTACATTGACAGTAGATTCCGCATTTTATAACCGTAACTCTCCATCATTTCGCTTATCACCTGCCCTATTACTGTCTCAATCTCACGGATATTTAGATAGTAGCATGTTAAATTTCTACTTCTTTCTACGTTTCTTGGAATTTGTTTTAGCAAGTTTTCTTTGACTTTCCTTTCCTTTAATTGCATTTTATTCTTTTTTATTTTTTATTCTGTACATTGCTCCCTTTTTCTGCCTTCTTTTTCTTTTATTTGGTTCTAATTTTGAATTTCTTTTTTCTCGAGATGTTAGTACAGAAGCAATGGCCTCTTTTTATACTTTCTTGAAGAAATATTTTTCTTTAGTTTTAGCTAGAAAGAGGATCTTTAAAATGGACCGCCTATTTCAGACTTTTTGTAGTCATTCTGAAGGATTGTTCGTCTTATTACCACAATTTACACCCAGATTTCTTTTTTTTTCTATTTACAAGAAAATTATACTTTCATTAGATGTTTGCATCTAAACTCTCCGTTCCCGAATTAACTGTGGTTAGCGAAATTTTAGCGTATCAGAATTCATCTAACTTACGTTTCTTATTAAATACAATCCTTTTTGTTGTTTGTCAATAATAATGGGTTTAAAAAGAAAGCATTCGACTTTTCATTATCTGTATATTTGCGCAAAAATTTTCAGATCCATTTCATTCCATTTCAGGTCTATTTGATTCTCAGCCAGCTGATTTTTTTTTATCTGACGGCTAAACACTTGCTGGTTTCTTACTTTCTCATCAACAAAAACATTGCTAAAAGCTTAGCTAAGCAGACAGCCTCTATTGCATCCCCAACTAAAGTTAAAAGCAACATACATACAGCCAAATCTTACACAGGAACCGAACCCATATTTCCGGTTTTAGCTAATCATTTAGCATTCACTATTCGTCATACCATTCCACAATAGCTAACTACAAAACATAAAACGGTAGAAGTAACAGCCTATATAAAGTCTACCTAAATCATAAAAGCTCCCGTGTTTACGATGGTGTTTTAAAAGTTACACCCGGGAACTTTTATTAATTTTTTGCTAAATTACTGATAAATTTATGATGTTTTACTTGATCTTGAACTAATAACCCCATCAGACGTGAAGAGAATTATCACTAGATTTGAAGTAACCACTATCAGTTACTATCAGATGTCAGCTATCGTGTTATTGCTAGATTTGAAGTCATGAAAAGGTTTTAGTAACCTTTTTTGTTAAACAGAAATTTGATTATACATTCACTTTCTTGTGCTAACAATATCAACCACAACTCACGGTTTAGTTTAGTTTAGTTTAGTGAAAAAAAACTCAGTTGAAATACTAGTGAACTCCCATACATTAAGGTTAGAAAATGGAAAAGAGAATTTACAGTAAAGGCTGAAATTACAAATAAATTATTAATTTAAATAACAATCTTACGAGGTAGAACTGCTATACTAGAAAACCCCTCTCAATATTATCGCGATTAATGTTACCATCCAGACACTGTTATCGAACTACGGAATACCTGCCCGTTTTTATGCGAAAACATAGAAAATACTTCGCTTACTTTGATCAATAATGCGGTTAATAATTTAATAATATTGTAGAATGAACTTTTCAAGCGGAAATAAATTCTTCAAATAAGTTCAAAATAAATTTTTAAAATTTTCAAGTGATTGAAAAATGTCGTCAAGTAAGGGCTTAAGTCACCAACACTACTTGGTTCTTATTTTAATCAACCATATAAAATTAGGCAATAAAGCATTTTGTTTCATTTGGCGCAGATTTTGAATAACTCTGATTTGAGAGTGGTCATGTAATAAAATTTTGAAGAACATATTTAAAAAATGTTGTCCGAATAAACAATTAAAACACAACTTCAAATCTTCAGAGCAACCACTTTTTTTTTATTTTCAATAATAACCATGGGACGCAAAAATATTTTATATACCGCTTTGCGACTACGTATATAGTCTTATAGAGCATGCTAGCGCGAATCGCAGCACAAATACAAAAATTTTAAACACAACCACCTGCACTTTGTTAAGAGTGCATTAAATATTAACAAGAGATCAAATACAACTCAAATTAATATATATAACACAAATACAAATATCATAATACAAATGAGCATACACTGTACTTAATGACATTTGTTATGTATAAGACAATATTAAAGGAGAAATGTGTTATTTCAAGCGGATAAATTAACTGGATTGGTCGTTTACATCGCCCCTTGTCAGTTCGAAGAACATAGGAATGTACGTGTCCGTCACAACCAGTAAAAATCTCTTCGACAATACGAAGTGGCCAGAGAAATTTCGATTTAGCTGCCCCTGCAAACAAACCTACATCTCCCCTTTTAAGATCCATTCCTGGTGATGGATTTCAATTGCATCAAATAATTATCTTTCCATTTCATCCATAGTTGATTTAAAAGTTTAGTCTGATAAACGTAATTTTCGACGACTGAAAGTCTCCTTTGTAAAACGGTTGACAGCCGAAAAGAACATAAGAATGAAATTATTGAACTCCCCATAAATACTCATGTAAGAAACACCCTCCGAGTATTAAGATCAGGTGTATAGCATCAATGAAATAATTTCCAGAAAGAGTAGAAATAGTTCATAAACGAACGTTTGAACCACTAAGACGTTTTTAGTTAAAATGCAATGAAAGTAAATATTTATATTTCTATTAAATTTGTGAAATTCTTTTCCTAAGTAGAGGGATTATTTTTTCACATCGTTTAATTTTCGTAGACAACGAACGTTAAACCGACGCCTACTGTACATTAATGTCTAGTAAGCGTTTGAAACGTTTTGCTATGATTGCAGAAAAGGGTGATTAAGATACATATTCATTTGAATGTAGCAAGCTGTAATTGAAAAATATTGTTATAGCAAATTTACATGGATGACCTTATACACTTTTCCGCTTTTATTAACCTGAATTTTATTTTAAATTTGTTATTTCGAAATACTACGAGAATTAAGCGTTAAATAGAACTGAGCTATCTTTATACTTAATCACATGCATAAAATATATGTAACACGTTTAGTTGGATACTAACTTAAGATATGTCTAACAAACCCTTTAATCATTCTCAAAATGAATTTCTTATCTGTGCATAGCAAAATTTTTTGCGATATGAATGTGTAACTCCTACTTCTTTAACCAGGCGCAGAATGGTACCGAATGTCAATATTCGTAGACATTCCACCACACTACATTTCCATTCGGAAGGTTATTATGTCTTCCAATGCATTTCTGAAAAGGGGATTTCCATCCAAAATAGGGAGATTCGAATGTCCTTAAGCGTATCTGAGTATGGACAATCGATGCAAAATGAATGATATACTGAAACTGTAACCTAATGCAAGCCGCATTATGTGAAATAAAGAAATCAGGAAAGCTATCCCTTACATAGAGGCTTTATTTATAAATGGCATAAAAAAAGCGAAATTGGATGATTAGTTTTCAGGGTCTTTGGGGATTATATGTAAGATATCTAAAAATGCTAGAGCAGTGGTTCTCAACCTATTTTGCCCCATGCAATCATTTCACCATTTTTAGAGGACCGTTCCCCTTCCTTTAGGAGACTCAAAAATTACATGTACACATTTATTTTGAATTCGATTATTTTTAAACATGTTTTATAAGTATAGAAACAAAGTATAGAAAATGTTGATAAATACCAGAATTTGAATAAAACAATTTTTTATATATTCATAAACTAAAACTAAATATTTAACAGCTAAACGAAAGACTGATCGCATTATCATCCCTGAAACTATGAATTTTACTCCTATGAATTTACTATGAATTAACTATGAATTTAGAACCCTTATGTTACAGGAAGCAATCAAATACTGCGATTAAAATATTACTACAAATAGAAATGAAAATTGGCCAGTACACTCTTAATAAAAAGGAAATAAATTCTGATGTAACCGGAATAAATTATTATATATATCTAATTCTTATTTCTATTTCTTTCTCATATTTAAGTAACATTTATTTAACTTGTTAATTGCTTCTCTGGCAAGCTTTTGTTATTTTAATTGGATAATTAGTTTAATTATGTCTACACGATGATTCTAAAATACCTGACAAATATGTAAAATTACCGTAAAAAACCGAAATTTGAAGATATTGTAATGGAATGTGATTGCGGAAATGACACGTGTAGGTATTAGCAAGTAACAATAGATAAGTGAGAAAAACCAAATCAAAAGACACAAACACTTTAATGATTTATATTTTTATAATAGATGCTAGAAAATTCGATCTCTAAGATTCACATGGATTGAACATCGATTGGTATGCATAAGCAAAGTTATCTGGCATTTTCACGCACATTTCTAGCAGTAACTGATAGTTTTGCCGCGATGTCTTCAACTGTCTCAACGGGATTGCACTTATTATTCTACCAGAAGAAGAAATCTATGCATATTAAATTTGGTGATCATGGTGACCAAGCAACATATCCTGTCCCTCCGATACAGTAGGGTCTGTCCAGGCAATTCTGACATTACTGCTGAAATGAACCAACATCTCATGACGCTGGAATCACATTCATGTGCGAACAGCTAGAGAAGCATTGAGAAAAAGTTCCTACAAGATATCCAGAAATATTTCGCATGTGCAATTTCTCAAGCAACTAAATGTACGCCCTACTAAGTAGTTGTATACTATGGCAGCCCAAATAATAAGAGACCCACTTGAAACATATTTCTGATTTAATAATTTCTTTGTAGCCATGTGAATTACCGTGGGCAGAAAGGTGAGAATTTTTGGGTATTAAATATACTTGAATGAGCAAATGTGATTGTTTTCAATGTTTATAATCTCTGTAAATAATATTTGTGCATTTCTTTCCCATTTAAAGCCGTACAAATGGTTAATTCGCTCACACTTAACGTAAGTCCAATACCTTTCGTGCTTGTACCAAGATTATCCTCCATATATATATTTCACAGCTTGTTCTATTGCGAAATTTCTCCGATATACTTTCGTGCTCACATCACGCCCGCAAGTAAGAAACGATTCACTCTCTCACAGTCTCCTGGTTAATAAGCTCGAAAGTTGGCAATTCGACAACTGTTTACTCGGGAGTCATTCTCTATATATCCTACGAGCAATAATCTGTTATCGTCCTCCTTTCAGTATATAAAATGCATGGCAGTAAGCTTAATATTTACGTAGCAAAATATTCTACTCGAACTCCACACGGTGAATGACAATTTATACCAACGGTTCGCTTTCATATACTGATTTCCGACAGAGCTGTCTACCATTTCAACGAGTCGTTTCCGAATATACATTCTATTTTAAAACTTCGGTTCCATCTAAACTGCTTACTATATGATCATAAATGCTGTTCTGGAATCTTACAAAATGTTGCTAAATTGGTGAGGGCTAGCTAAATATCATCAACGTCGACAAGGTCCATCAGTATAGTTTTCGCTTATATCTCGACTTTTATCTGAACTACATGCTTTTGTTAATACTTTTTATGAGAAATTTTATGGAATAAACTTATTGCAGGTGCAGAAGATTCTGATAAAAGGGAGGGGGAGGAAATACTAAACTTTTATGTGATTACCGTCCATTAAAATTATTAGGTGTTAAAATACTCGTTATGCCTTAATTGCTACCCTAATTGGCATGATGTTTAGAAGTTCCGCTTGCCATATCATTGGATGGGAGAAATGATAGTTGCTTATTATTATTTCTGATTTTTGTATCATGAAGGCACTTGAGATATCTTTCGGTCGAAAGTTACATCAAAAAGCTGATGACAGGTGAACGCTGGAAGTTGGGAAAATGCCTAAATGCCTAACTAATAAAGTGTCTAAAACCGTGGCCAACGGTCCCTTCACACTGGCCATGAATAATGTATGAATTTGATATGGATTATGTTCAGATCAGAAGGATTAACAAGATTAATAATAAGCTGCAATTAGTTTTAAAAAATTCAAAATGCCGTAATAATTATAGTTATGTAGACGGGCTTAACAAACATTTACAAGGTGCTAAAAGATTCCCCGTCTTCTACAAATGGACAGGAACAGTAATTTCATTTGGATTTACTGTAATTCTTTAATAAGTACTGAGTTATTTACGCTTAAAACGATAATAAAATCTAATATCACTGTCTTTTGCAGACCCACCTTATCCTCCGAGTTTTGTCATCACCGATGTGACATCCTCCAGTGCTTTGGTCCAAATGAAATCAGAAGACATGTCTCCAGTCTTGCGTAAGTGTATTATTATTATTATTGCATTCTTGCTGCTTCTCTTCCATCTACCAAACATTTACCCTCTATTCACTGAATGAACTGCGGCTTATATTTATTCAAGTGGAAAATATTATTCTCCGAAAGAGAAGCTGTAAATTCGTTTTGAATACTAAAAGCATGTGATTGACGGATCACTTGCAAGGCTTTAGCTCACAAAGAGCTCTTTTAGAATTCAAATGTTATTTAAAATATTTTATTTGCTTTCGTATTCTGCCTCTCATAACTGTCTGTTCAAAGTAATCTTCAATTCTATTAAAAGGAGAAAGGGAAAAGGCAGGATTTCGCAAATATATCGAGCAGTATAAAATTCGAAGACATTGTTGACTTTTTCTAACTGAAATATATATGTATATAAACAGAATCGCCTAAATAAATATGAATGGAAAAAGGAAGATAAATTTTATCAAACCATTCTTTAAAAGCAAAGATTTTATCAATATAAAATAATGATATTGGTGAAAATTCAGCGCAGCTCTTCTAGTCCGATTTATTACGTTATTATACTGTGTTTTATTCAAAGCGTGTGTCTGTCTAATGTAAAGAACACTCAGATCATAAATTCACTCGATGATTTTTTTAAATATTGAATGTGATATTTAAACATGCTAAAACGTTTTATTTAATTCACATATTTCTTAAGATTCAAGCATAATATGGACTTCTGTGTAATATTATATATATTTTAGCTACTTAATTAATTTCATCGTATTGTACTTAATTAATTTCATCGTATATGATGCTTCTGATAAAAAGAAAATTAAGTGATATAAAATCCACTGAATTCGGTGTTTGTAGAAGTATTAAAATAATAATAAACTTATGAATATGAACTTGAATTGTTCTCCTCTTTCGAATTTTGAAAACTATTTTCTAACTGTTGAAAAAGTTATTGGAATTTAAATTACGCAAAAATGAAATAAATTCCCTTTATTCTGGACTTAATGCTAATTAATTATGGCTATCTAAGCCAAAATTAAAGTTATAAACGCATTATAGATGCATTTTTATATAACGTAACCACCAATAAAATTAGTTGTAAAACTGATGTCGTATATAATTTGGGAAAGTATAAAATGGTTATAAGCTTTCAGTGGTTGTTAAGTTTCAGGTTCAGTGGTTTCAGTGCTTCAGTGGAAGACTTCTTACCTTTTTAATGATATGGTTTTTAAGAAAACGTGAAAGGGGTTCCTAAACCTGTGGAATCGTCTATATAGCTATATTTCTTACAATGATTTCAATTAAAATGAGTGTTTCCAATCTTTTACACACCAATTAAAATCGAAATCCATAGGCCTGGCCACTTTCTCGATATGTTATGAGTATTCCGAATGTTAGCTTTCAGATTATGGTTCTAATTCCAAATTATGATCACCAAGAAGCATTGGCGAGGCCATACAAGAGTGACGACATCTATGCAGGACGATATGCGGTATTAATTGCAACCCGCCATAGAAAGGTGACTTCTAGAAATATTTTTAGACCTTTGCTACTGTGTTTGGAACAAAACTTCATTTAAAAAACTTATATAGAGACCTATCAGAGCATTCCCTTTACGCCTGAGGATCAGAGACATATGTCCACCTCAACTGGTTGCAGAAGACAGCTCACCGTGTGCAGAATTAAGCACATCATTCTTAGGTAAGCTGTATTGGAACTCTTCCCTCTCCAATGATAAACTGAGATTCTCTACAAAGAGTGATTTTTGACGAAACTTCTGTTGGTGAGTGCACATGAGCCACTATGGTCCTTTCAACAAAAAGGAAAATAAACCATTTGGTATAAGGGGAATCTTTGTGGGGAGAGACATGAGGAAGGCCGCCGCATACTGCTAAATGCTTTCGCTGCGGGAACTGTGGTCGCCCATCGCAGGTTATCAATAAGGTTCCTGCACATTATGTCACGCTTCTCCGAAGAGCTGTTGATGATAACTTTATTTTAATTCTTTTATAATAACATCAGACTGCACAAAGCTCACCTGCTTGAGGACTCTTTAGAGGAAGAGATTATTTGCCGTATAGTGTGACGAGCGAATTCTCAGGATTTATATTTCACATAGCATGTTTGATGTGCTCTTAGAACACACCAGCGTCGTCTCAGGACATTCTAGGCGTTATTGAGCTTGAGGAAAGGAATTTGTAGCTACAACATTTGGTCAAAAACCTCATTTACATTTCTAGAGTCCTTTATGAAGCATGTAAAGTTGTATGGGTTAACCATATTTCTTTTTAGACGAACCATTCAAGAAATGTGAAATAGCATGTTTGAGCTGTTTTTTTTTATTTCATTTGCACCGTAAAATATCCATAACTTATTACGTGTTCCTCTTTCATTTGATATCTATAGTTTCTTTGCCAGTTCTCCATCTCAACGAAAAAATAAAAAAGGAAAAATTAAAAATAATCATGATTTTTCGCACATGTTATGTGTAAATACGAGCTGATCCTTTTAAAAAGATATTTATGGATTGTGAAACTGCGATACCTTTCAGCAACTATTAAGCAGAGGTCTTCAAACTTTTTTTCACGGAAATCTAGGGTTCCTTGTTGGAGTTCACCAAATCAAAATCAAAATTCGGTAGAATTTTCACTACACATGGATAAAGAACTAAACTTCTAATATAATTAAATAAACATTAAGAATAAAGTATTAAACAAATAACATTTTTGTTACAGATAATTTCAATATTATTAATTAGATGTGTTTCATAATTAAAATCATAAAGAAGTTACAGGATGTGTGACGACTCTTAAGAGTTTCTTAGACCTCTCGAATCCTTCCTATAAGAATAATTATTAGAAAAAAAGGCACAAACTTCTACTTAATTTCCCATTTTTAATTAAAGCAAAAATATAAGGTCTGCGTTTAATGACTAACAAATTTATGAATACAGTTTTTAAAAATATACCTACATTTATTTAAAAGATGTAAACGAAATTTAGTTTAAGAAATACACAATTAAACTCTAAAATCTCGATGCTAGTCTTCATAATATAATTTAACAAACATATCTGATTAATAATTTTAATTATTTTACATTTCTTAGAATTCTTAGAATTATTTTAAATTTCTCCTTCTTTTCTTCTTTCTTCTTATTCTACATTTTCTTTCTTGGGCTTTAGTGGAGTGCTTTCTGAGAACAACTGGCTCTTATTCATGTTACTCACGAAAAATCAACCATGCAGTCAGCCCTTTGGTTTAGGTTCGAGCCCAAAGTGGGTTAAAATACTAGTATTCAGCTATTCGAAACCACTCGATCACTGGGACAAGCCAGTAACCATTCGATCACTGGAAGGGGTCCAGAAAATTAGAATGGGTTACTTCAAGCCACCATGTAGTGATACTTGCATCGGGTATGCTTTCTATATCACCACGAACGAAAGAAGGGAGAAAATACCTTATAAGATGTTAATTAAACTGATATTTCAAACTTTTCGCGTTAAAACATTCCATATTTTTTTAGGTTAGGATTCGAAGATTTTAAGCTCGAATCACTTTCAAAATTCTTGGGGCTCGAAAAATTGAAAATTCTATCCCTAGAAAGGATGATTTTATTTTCATTTTCGACATAAAGTAAATTTTTCATTTTTGATTTCATTTTTTGATATATTGAACAATAGGATAGGAATTATAGAAAAAAAAGCATAGTTTTAATGAGTATCCTTATCTGAACAATTTGAAGACTGCTGCTCTATATCGTAACTCAACTTAGATTTCTTATGTCCAATGATATACTTAAAACAATTTCTAAAACATTAGCATTATCTTTTCAGAATACATCCTAGAATACCGTCGGCACAATGAAGAATGGAACCCAATCCACGTTCCGAGAGACAAATCCTCTTTTCAACTGAGTCGGCTGGACAATTCCATGACGTACGAAGTTCGGTTGGCGGCTTACAACGAGCATGGTAGAGGTGAATTCTCCTCCGCTTTGGCTTTCACAACTACAGAACGAGGTAATGTATTGATTTCTCGGATCTCGTATTCGTGCATATATTTCGGCAATTCTCAGTGGCTTGTTGGCAAATTAGTTAAAACCATTTGATCGTGAGCTATCGCATTACAAGTTTAAATGACTCAAAATCTCAATTCTGCGAAAAGGGACATTGGCGCAATGTACCTTCTAAGATTTTAGAAATAAACATTAGTTGTTAATTCTTGATATTGAAACATGTGTTAAATTTAGACGAGATCAGAAGATTGCATAATGTATTTTCGGAATAATGTGTTTTTAGAGTTGTGCTTAAAGAGGAAATTGTGTATAATTTACTCGTAGATAAAGTGAAATCACATATATTTAGAACATTAGACAAATGTTCTTTTCAGTCACATTCAAGTAATTAGTCTTACTGTTATCATCTCTTTTCATTTACAGATAACTACTTTATTCAGGTTACTATTCAGTTTTTCTTGTTTTTTTTTCCAAAAGTTACAGTGCATATGCCATGGACATCAATTGTTCAGTTAGTGTATAAGTAATTTCACAAATGTAGGTATCTCTTTAAATATTAATTTGCTCAGTTTGTATTAAATGAAAATTTCAAACTGATATTTAGTGAACAGTTTTAATTTATGAAATATTCATTAGACCAGCGCAGGTTTTCAGGAATGCAAAACAGATGCTTACAGTAGGATGTAAAATATTTTGTAGCATTTCATGTAAGCATGTATTGAACATTAAAATTCATTTTCTGTAACGTGCACCCCTTTTAAGGAGCGATAGTTCGAAACATAATAGCCGGAATGCAGTTTATTAAGTAAATAAAATGTTTCTCAGATTTAAAATATCATCATCTTCAAGTTGTGCATGAAACGTGGAAGGAACTACAAAAGCGGCATAAATACGTTTCTAGTTCTTGCATTACTTATGTTACAAACTGTAACAAATTTGTTGGTCAGAAGAAACGAAATATAGAAATCTAGAATTCAAATATCATATATGTATATCATCGACAAACTTCAGATATGTTTAAAGATGTTAACACTTAGTTGGAATGCTTTGTTTATTTTCACTAAAGCCTATTACCAAATTATAATATTCATAACGTTTTCAAAATGTCATGTGTTACTTCAAGAAATTATATACTCGGTTAATTGTGTTTTATTTGTCAACAATTACCAAAACGATTTGTTGGAATATAAGTGCGGAAAGTCAAACAGTACTACAACTGCTGTTTCGAGAAAGAGGCAAAAATATGTATAAACTCAGAAAAAACATAAAAAGAATCTTCCAGAACTTTTTTGCAAAATGATAAGAATTGAAACTCTTTATCTCATTTATTGGTTGCAAAAGAAAAGTAAATGAACTAAGAATGAAGTTCTTTAAAGATCAAACGTTAACGTTATATATGATTAAAGACATTATTCGTAAAGGATCACATTTTTTAATTTCTGAGACGCAGTATCAGGGTATCTTAGCATTTTATTTATAATTTTTTAAGCTCTTCAGGTGACGCTGAATGTTACCAGCATGGCCTTACAACTCTAGTTAACTGTTTTAGATCCAAAAAGAAGAAAATTTAACTAGGAGAATTTGTATAATATTGAAGAAACTTGCGCTACATAATTTCCAAGCCAAAACGTGCATCTTTCTATAACTGCGAGTACAGAAATAAGATAAAGAACTCCGGTGCGTATCTAGCTCAAATGTACACAGGTGCACTTCTGGTCAAACGACAGGATTTTGAGTTCTCTGTTGCCATCTATTGATGGAAAAGTGAACAAAAAGCAAGTAAAAACCAAGTTCGTTAAAAGGATTTGTAATATCCTAGCTAAACTAGAGTTCCTTGAGAGCTAGAACTATGTAGCGACTATGAGTTCTTGTATCGTAAGTAACAAGTCCAAAGAAGGATTAGATTTCCCTTTTAGTCCAACACAAAATGAATGTACAGATGGCCCCTCTCGGACTTACAAGAAGCCTCCACTCGGGCTTTAACTCAAAATAGAAAATATAAAGTAATCTCATACTAAAAATTATTCAACCGAAGCTGCACATAATCAACTAGCGGAGTTAGCCCCTTATTTAAAAATCACAGGCGTTTACTAAGAGGGTAGTAGAATAGCAAGCTTAAACTAGTAGCAACAACTTGATCGAAAGGGGTTAGAACACGCTCTCCTACTGAAGTGATCCAGACTTCAGCTTAATTACTCGTTTCTACCTCATTTGCATAAATCGTAATCCTGAAAACTAATTCTGGCAGGGAAATGTAAGTGAGAATTTAAAACGTATAGGAAAGTCTTGTTCCAAAATTAAAGTAACTATTTGAAAAATAAAGTAATATCCTACAGATAAATCGAAGTCAAAATATGAATCATTAATTACGATAGAAAGACATTTATGAGTACAAATTCTTCCAGGTAATCTAATTCGTCAAATGCAGACCTTTTCTGAAATCCTTTGGCAGTACAGAATTGAGAAGTGTATATGCATTACAATTTTTGGTGACTTTTCTCAGTATGCGCAATTATACTGAAGTAAACGACATTTGTTTCAAGTATTTTTGGTGTATAACGATAGACGTATCCTAATAGCTATCTGAAGATCTAAATGTACGATTCTGGCTAACGCCACCGTTTACTTTCAACTGCTCCTTTCTGCCAGAGTCATTTCGTCTGCATAATAATATTGTGGCAGCCATGAAAACCACCAGACTTAACATACTAAAAAATTAGTACTAAAAAATAAAAAATTAGATTACTACTACTAAAATACTAAAAATACTAAAAAATTAGAATTAGTATACAAATACTAAAAAATTAGATTCTAAAAATTTGATTTTCAAAAAGAAATTTTGAATCTACATAAAGACATTTACATTTTGTAAATAGAATTTGTCAGCTGATGGGAACTGAAAGTATAATAATTCAGCATTTGTTCAACGCGCACTTTTCAAGAATATTTCTTTGGAAGTTCGCTGTAAAATTCATTTAATTTTTAAAAACTTCATTTTTTTAAGCAAACCATGAACGTAAGGAACAAAAATAAGTTGCGGATACTTCAGTCATACCTAATAACGTATAAGGAAAAAAACTATACATTATACATGTTTTAATAACATGAGTTAACACGTAAAGTTATTTGTACTAAGAAGTTAAGTTAAAATTTAGTTACTATAAAAGTTTTGGTCATATGCAACTAAAATTAAACCCGTGGAGTAGCAAACAATGCTGATTTTAAATAAAAAATTAGCCAAAGAGAAATTTATCTGAATTGAATGTAATCATTCTTATACATAACATTTTTATATCATCACTTCTATGAGTCCTTGAAAATCTGTTAATATCCCAATGTAAATCGTATAGAAAGCATGATCGTTTTACTTTTAGTCATATTTTTATTTTTAGTCATCACTTAAAACCATAAGTTTGAAGCGATGAAAAAATAAATCTTTTGTTTACTATACCGCTGGCCATTGTTCTATTTTTAGTCAAGAATATTATGATTCCTAAATTATTTTACATTATTTTCATTTCATTTAATTAAAACAATGTAGTTTAAAAATATTTCCATGTAATATTAAAAATACATTTTAAATTACATGTACCATGTAATTTAAAAATATGTATTTTATTTTATACTTTTTAGTATATAGAATACGGAATGGCAATAAGAAAAAAAATCCTGTCTTTGAAGTAGGAAAATTGCTCCCTTTAATTTGGATAAAGATTATATTCAGTTCAATTAATTTTTTATTTTAGTCTCATCATCACTTAAAACCATAAGTCTGAGATAACCTAAAATTAATGCTGGCCATCCAAAATGCAGCACGAAGAAGGACAAGAGATATCAAAGTCAAATTGATTTCAGAAATTACACATAGTATCAGTGTTAATTGATTTAAAATACAGCCTTCTTTAAGGTGAGGAAGGCAAGAAAATTAGTGATGAATGTTGGAATCCACGTTTGGGGTCAAAAATCGTTGCTATACGCCGCTGCATTGAATGAAAGAAGCTTTGGATGTGTTGCTGGGGAATGGCAGGCCATGCTGTCTCAACACGTAGCCAAAGTTCATCTGTTGTACCTGCGGGTGCAGCATGCCGGGCTAACCGTTCTCCAGTCATTGACCAGGCATGTTCGATGGGTGATAGATCTGGAGAAAGGGCAGGCCAGGTAACAATGCAATATGGTAAGCTAAGAAATAGCCTGAACATTGCGTGCAATGTGTGGTCACGCAGTGTCCTGTTGGAAGTAGTCGCAAGCAAGCTCTGAAAGTAAGGAAGAAAAACAGATTTCAAAACTCAGAAATATTGCATTGGCTGGTAAGTGTACCGATAAAAGGGGTCGCGGGAGTTTAATCCAGTAACATCCCACAACATAACACCGCGTGAAAGGCTAGCATGATGATGCATAACACAACAGCCATTCTCCACGGTGTCTCCAAACACTGATCCGACCATCACTGGTACTGCAGGCAGAAACCACAATGTCATGTCATTCGGATGCCCATTTCCGCCATTCAGTGCACACTGTAAACACAAACGTCTTTGGTTTAAATTAAAGTAAGGTACTCGAAGCAATGGACGCTAAGTGGACAGTCCATTATATTATCGTATTGCACTCTTCATTGTACTATAAGAGACATGAAATTATTCATGCAGATACTGATTTTATGTTATAGTCTGCATTCATTGTGATATGGTGGCAGATGTAGAGTGCGTTGCATCAATGCCCTGCGCTCAATATGCTTCCCATGGAGAGGTGCGAGTAAGCGATTGCAATAACTGCTGTCCGTTAGTCGTTCCCTCCTGCATCCATCATTTCCGTGTTCACATGACTCATGCTTCGCTATATCGGGCACGATGACCGATTTCCCAGTAAGATAATCCGCAGTCTCTGGTATACAACATTTTTGCCTTGGCCGAACTCAGAAATGGGTTCGAGTGATGCTCGTGTTTTTTCTACGAGTCATGCCGAAGCTGCACCCAAAAAAAAATCGCATGAGAGAACAAATCACGT